ATTTGTAACGACCCAACCGGTCGTTTTGAGCTCTAGCGCGTCGTTCGGCAGTTTAAGGCCTTGAGTAGCTTCACTTCAGGTATTATAACTTGTACGCGTGGTCGGAATTGAATTTCGAGAAGTTCGGAGTTGATTTGGGAAAAAATATTTTAAATTCGGAAGCTTTAAGTTAGAAGAATTGACTAAGGTTTGACTTTTGAGTAAACGACCTCGGAATTGGAATTTGAAGGTTCCAATAGGTTCGTATGATGATTTCGGACTTGGGCATATGTTCGGGTTAAGTATTGGGTGACCTGGGAGCATTTCAGCGCTTATTGTGGAAAATTGGCATTTTGAAGATTTTAGAATTTCCTAAGTTTGGTTTAAGGTGGATTTTGGTATTATCGATGTCCGTTTGGGATTCCGAGCCTTGGAATAGGTTCGTGTCGTGATTTGTGACTTGTACATAAAGTTTGGCATCATTCCGGAATGTTTAAGTATGAATCAGACGTGTTCGTCATAGTTTGAATGTTTGAAAGTTTAAGGAAAGGTTTCAATCGTCGATTCGTAATTTTGATATTGTTTGGTGTGATTTGAGGCATCGATCAGGTTCGTGTATGTTTTGGGATGCGTTGGTATATTTGGATGGGGTCCTAGGAGCCTCGGGCTTGAAACGGATTGAAATCGAATCGCCTACTGCTGGTGCGACCGCACCTGCGGAAATTTGGGCGCAGGTGCGGAACCGCTGAAGCGAACTGCTCAACGTAGAAGCAGAAGAGGGGTGCGTAAGGAAGGATTCGCAGAAGCGACGTTTGGACCGCACCTGCGATGCGTAGAAGTGAGGGAGCTTGTCGCAGGAGCGGGGCAGCTTCCGCAGGTGAGAAGGGGCAGGCTCCAATGCTTCTTCGAAGAAGCGGAGTTTTGGTCGAACAAGCGACGCCGCAGGTGCGGCTACTGTTCCGCAAGTGCAAAAATATCGTTGGGTAGAATTGTTTTAAGAACGGCTCTCCTTCTTTCATTTTTCACTTGGGTTAGCCGAATTTGGGGAGTTATTTTGAGGGGATTTTCATCAAGCAACACGAGGTAAGTGATTCCCACCTATTACGAGTTAAATACTTGGATTACATATGGATTTTAACATGGAAATTAGTAGAAATTATGGAATTTTGGTAGAAAACACAAAATTTGGTATTTTTGGATTTTGACCACGAAATTGGACATGGAATTAGGAATAAATTATACAATTGAGTTAGTGGTGTTATGGGTAATGTTAATATTCAAGAATTTTTGGAATCCGGGATCGAGGGTTTGACTTTATTGACTTTTCGAGCGGAGTTGAGACTTATTATAAATTGATTTATTATGAGTATTGGAGTATATTTTTATTGGTTTGTACATTATTTGACTAGTTTTGGAGCGACGAGCATCGGTTTGAGGTGTTAGAGTAGCGTTGGAGTCGGTTATGGAACTTCAGATCGAGGTAAGTCTCATGTCTAACTTTGTGAGGGGGAAACTATCCCCTAGGTAATATAATTGTTATGTGCTATTACTAGTGGGTGCTACGTACGCACGAGGTGACGAGATTCCGTACGTAGCTAAAGAATATTTATGTCCGGGTAGACTTAGGATTTTACCATGTAATATTTGAAATAATTGAACTCATCCTGTTTGCTTAATTAACTGAAATTATAATTGAAATTGATTTAGAAGTGTATATATATATATATATATNTATTCATATATTGTATCGTAAGCTTGTGTCTCATAATTCGATAATTCCTTTCCTTTCTTGTGGAGCGGGTCGTTCGCCTCGGCAGTATAATAGATGCATTTATGGTTCGTGCCGCTAGACCCTCAGCAGTGTACACGTTATGATGGGATCGGGCCGATCGCCTCTGTAGTATCAAATTCTTTCTAAGATCTGACTGTACGACTTCGACATAATCGTACGTTATATCGCTAGCAGTCCGAATATTTGCGAGATTTTTTCTTCCACCGATGCCTTGCATTTTATATGCAAATTCTTACCCGTTTGTTATTGGCACTTGATATTTCTGAGTTGTTGAGATAGAATACGAGATTGAGAAATTGATATCGTTAAAAGAAATTTTGGAAGATTGTGTTAGTTATAGATTTACCTCACTACTATTGTTGTACTCTTATTTGTTTATGATTTACCATATTGCCTTATTGGACTACTAGTAAGTGTCGATGTCGACCCCTCGTCACTACTTATCTGGGGTTAGGCTAGATATTTACTGGGTACGCGTTGATTTACGTACGCATGCTGCATTTCTGCACTAAATGTGCAGGATCTAACGAGTTCATTTGGTGACCATCTTGGCACGTAGGCGCAGCTGTTGAGGAGACTTTATGTGAGTTGCATTTAAGGCTACGCATCGCAGTCCACGGAGTCTCCATCGTACTATTTATTTTATCCTGTCTCATTTACATTCTACATATATGTTGTATTATTATTATTATACTCCTTAGTAAATGCTCATGCACTTGTGACACCGGATTTTGGGATATACTAGTTGATGCTTACGGTTTTGTATATTATCATCGTCTTTCATTTCACTTATAAACTACAAATTTTGTACGTTCTAGTGAATTTAAAGGTGTAAATTTTCCTTATTAAAATTTATGATTTCGAAAGTAATAAAATGAGTAATTAAATTGGTCAATCACCGTTGGCTTGCCTAACGGCGGCGTTAGGCGCCATCACGACCTATAGTGGATTTTGGGTCGTAACATATTTCTCTGAGAAATAATTGCTTATTGCTAATACAATTATATTTATCTCACTAAGAAGTAGTCAATTAATAGCACTCCGTGAGGTTATGTGATTAATTGAGTTAAAACTAGTAACGATTAAACCAAAATATTTTTCTTGCTTAAATTGTGCTAAGAGGTAGTAAAAACTTCGTGAGAATATTTTTACTAAAAAATCAATAATCTTGCCTACAACAATTCCTCCGTAAGAATTAAAATTGAGGTAAGCAAGATTATTGACTTTTAATAATAGTTTACTAAAAATTACTCTTACTCCACTATTTTATTCAGTAGTTACTATATATTAATTTTGCTCCGTGAGAATTTCAAAATTAATATAAGAATAACTTAGAGATAAAATATATAGAAGTGATAACAACGATTAGTTAAAAACCATTATTATAGCACAATGTAAAATATAAATAGAAAGTTCCAAACCAAGAATGTATTAAACTGAGAGAGTATTATAATATATATATCAAATTTCATCAACTATCCCAACAAAAAAGGTTACTCCATTATGAAGTAAGAAAAAGAAACTAGTTTAGAAATACAAAGAATTGATACAGAGATATTATTTTTCACAAAAGGATAACTATGTAGTTCTTCTCAGCACAAGCCTCTCCCCTTCACAATATAATATGAGTGCCTATTTATAGAAAATGTGTAGCAAAGGTGAGATGATGTTGAAATTTTAGGTCTTGATGTTGTGACTTTAAAGTTACATTCACTCTAGTTTACCACGTGCATTGCTGAATCTTTTTTTTTTCTTTCTTTCTTTTTGCTCTTTTTCCTCCTTGTTTTGCTTGTAGTCTTCTTTCCTCAATTCATTTTTCCTCCGCAAAACTTGTTAGAAAATATAGGAGAATCGAATATATTTATTCATGTTTTATTTAAAAATCTTTAATTATATGTATGAAAATACATGAATAATTTATATTCATCAAATTCCCCCACACTTGAACTTTTACTCGTCCTCGAGGAAAAAATATTTTTTTTAACAACTCTCTTCAAAAATCATTGTTTGCCTTGTGGAGAGAAAATTTATTCAAGATAAGGATTTCATCATTTCCTAAAACGGATTAACTTTTTCAATCTCACAATACATTTACCTTGCTTATGATTCGATCTTTGTTCAGCAAGAACTTGCATTTCTTCTCCCTATGACTCCTAAGAATTGATAAATTTATGGCCACCATCGATAAGAATTGTAAATTATGTAAATTGTCACTAATGTAGTTTAAACACTATTTTTTAAAATCTTTTAGGGCTTTTTCGGTTTGTAATGTTAACCTTCAGGTAAGATAAAAGGAATATTTATAGTCTCTTCTTTTTAGCTATTGAAGCAATATATATTCTGAAATTTTGAAGCAATTTCATCCTCTCTTTTTTTGGAACAATACTTTATGTACAATAGAGATTTTCTCTATATATGAAGAATCTATATGTATACTGCTTCTTTGCCTTTTCTGCCGCCATTTTTTTCTCTCTCTCTCTTTTTTAATAATAAGCTCCATTTTTGAATTTTCAGCTGAATAGAAAAAAATTAGGAAGAAGTAATTACAGATACACGGGTATCTATAATTTACTGGTTTAGATTGTGGTGTGACAAGAAAGAATAGTTTACAGGCTTCAAAGTTGGGTACTAGGGATAAAAAAAAATGGATTGTTTTGGTTGCATTTTCAGGCTAAAAAGAAGAAATCAAAGAAAGCCTAATTCATTTTTCAAAAATTAGTGTCAACTATTATTTCGCCTTGACAAATATTCTGAGCAAGTTCTAGTAAAGAATTAATGAATCTAGCTGTTGATGCTCATAACTCTTCTCAATTCCAATGATTTCTTGAGTTGAAGATGCAAATCCTTGCTTTCACAAAATCAGAATAATAAACTTGGAAGTTATGTGATTCAAGAAGAAAAGAGTTAATATTTTAAAAATGAAGAGATCTTATTTTGTGGATTTAATACCCACAATAAAATAATAATCCATGAAAGAGAATTATATATAAGTATTACTTTATTTACGGAAATTGAAAATCTTTTTTTTTCTTTTCTTTTGATTTAACTGTTGCACTTGATAGGTACTACCCAAGCATTGAAGAGTGCTTTTTTGCTTAAGCATCCAGCTTTATATCCTGTTTCTTTCTTCAATACTAACCAAAAAAAATCACGTTATCAATATATTAGAATAGCAAAGTCCAAACAAAGTAGCTAAAATTAGGATAAAGTGCATATACTAGTACGACAACTACACTTCAATATTTACTAATAACAAAATATTTTACACCAGTTATACATATATATGTATGTATATATACTTTTAACAATAATACAAAAGAAAGAAGACATTAATAACAACAACCAACATAGCCTAATACTATATAGGCTAATCAGTAAAAGGCAGGAACTTCCCATATTCTTTCCCCAAAACATTGACCCCCCAACACTTAAAACTTTCATCCTCCTGGATTAAATCTCATTATGAATCTACTCGTTCCTCCTACATCATCGCCACCAAAATAATTCTCCTCTCTTGGTTGTGAAGAACCACATTGTGTAACCGGAACAGGTATCCAATTTTCTGAGAATTCACCTCCCCCTATTCTAGGACTCTTTACCATCTCACTTTGTGAATTTGGTTCCATCATACTTGACCCTCCAACATTGGGTATAGATAGAGGAGTATATCCAGGGAAAATAGTAGCAAGATCAACTAAATTTGACAAATTTCCACTGCCATGATCTGAAATAATTGGTGTTGGGACCGGTGGAGGAGGTGGTGGTTGGTTTTCTATGGGTGGTAGAGGTGGTAATTGTTGTGCCGTAGCTTGTAGTTCTTCAGATGAATAAAATTTTGGAATAGGACATGAAGATGGATCCATAAACTGCAATGGTGAGAATTGAATAAACTCATTGTAATGCAAAAACCAGGCCAATCTCTGCAAAAAGCTTGAATTATCATAAATCATTGAAGAGTTGTAAATGATATCCTGCATTTGAACATGTCGCATTTGTTTCAAGTCTTCCTTCACTCCATCAGCTTTAACACTCATTTCTTTTTTCATCTCTTTTACTTCTTTTTTTATCTCATTAACTTGTTTCTCCATAGGCTCAAATTTTCTAGCCAATAAATCCATAATCTGCCTTATTCCACTTTGAGAAACAAGAGTTTGCTTTCTCTTTTTTCTTAAGAATTCTTCTTCCTCCCCTTCTTTTTTCCTTGGGCCAACAGTTGGATGACTATTCGACCAAAACTTTTTATCAATCATTTTTTCGGAAGCAACTATTGAATTAGGATTAGACTTAATTCCGACACTCTCAAGTAGTTTAGTGATGATAGAAGGAAACCAAAGAGTTCCAACAGATGTATCATACCTACATGCTATGAGTTGTCTATTGATGATGTTGCCTATATCGATAGGCATTTTCAAACAAATAGCATGTAGCAAAGCGAGTTGGTTCAAATAAACATGTGTACCATTGCTATTTGGAGTTAATATGTGACTCAAAAATTTAAGAAGGGGTCTTACCCTGTGCTTGAGGTTTCTTACTTTCAGGATTACTTTGTCACCGGAGGTTTCGAACCCCCAATCTGCTCCAAAATAGTAGAGTGCATCCTCTATTGCATCCAAATGTGGCTTTGGCTGGTCTATGAAGGCTTGAGTCTTGCGATCAGCCACTAGTGGTAGCTTGTTCATCTTCTGAGGTGAAAAGTCCACCCTTATTCCTTTCACAGTAGTGAAATTGGTCTTTCTTCCTTCCATATTCCTGTAAAATTTCCAGACCAATTTTAAGCAGTAAGATCCAGGTGGTTTTGCAAACTCACCCCATTCAAAGAAGCTTACAATTTCAGCAACATATTGGTCTTCTTGCCCATCTTTTGGATTAAAAAATGTCTTTTTCAGTGATCAATTGCATTCCAAAGCTTTCTTGAAACCATTCATCCCTGTAAGAGGAATGCTCAATCTTTGGTCTGAAGCATTTTTTTGAGACATTTTTCAAATAATTGGTGGTGGGTTAAGGAAGTAGAAAAATAAAGAAAATAAGAGATGAGAGAAAAATGAGTGGAGTAAAACGTTGCGTGGCCAGAGATGTAATTTTCCGGTGGATTTTGGAAGATCCCGATGGAGTTAATATTCACAATTAGTCCCCCCATCCTTTTATTCAACATTTAAACTAGTGAAAACAAAAATTAATCTACAGTTGTGACTGTAAGAATACTATCCCTTCACCAGTTGGTACACAAACAGTGAAATAGAAATGATAGAAGAAGAGTTTGAGAAGATAAAGTACAATAGAAAACTTACAGTCATGACTGTGGAATAAAAGGCAAGGGAGAACTAAGAAGATAAAGTACAATAGAGCTTCGTGTCAGTTGCATTTGAAGTTTTTTTGGTTTTGTAAAAGTTCAACAACTTTTTCTTTTTTTTTTTCTTTTTTAATTTTATGTTATGATTATCTAGGTTCACGTACCAAAGTAAAATCTTTTGCAAGTATAAGTAGCTTTGTACTCCTTTGTGTTACGTAACACTTGAAAGTTGGTCATTGGGAACATGAAAGTTGGTCATTGGGAACAGTGATATTGTCTTTCCACTACACAAGATAGACCTATTCATGAGCTTCTATACATACTATTATCTAGTATTATATATTTTAATTAGAATAGTCCTGTGTGTATATACATATAAACTCTTGCCTAAAACACTTAACGAGAAGGATATACTTGGTGTCCTTTTTTTTATAAATACATTAAATACTAAAGAACTATTTAAAAAAATAATAATAAAAATCTTTTTAGCTTTCAAATTTACTGGCACAGAAGAAAGCTTGAAAGAAACTGTGATCACACACAGTGGCGGAGCCAGAATTTTTGTTAAGGAGAGTCAAAATATAAAAAAACAAACTCACTAAGAAATCAAGAGGTATCATTATATAGTATATATACATATTTTAAAAAATATTACCGAGCTAAACAGTGTAATATCCCTACGAAGGAGTGTCGGTTGACACCTCTTGGGTGCATGTGGCTCCACCACTGACCACACATATTCAATGTGTAATAGACTGGACTAGCGTTTAGACCTTATCAGTCATGGGGTCCGGGTTTTGATATAAACCAGAAAATTTACCTGAGCCAAAAATTAATTTACACAATTAGCCAACCAGTGACTTAGGCATACCGGCCACCATGGAATTACTCCTGTATAGATGACTCTGTTTTTGTATAGGCCTTCATGGGATGTCCTGGTTGTAAAATAATCTGGATATTAACCAGATCAATTGGTTAAGCATTTATTCATACAAATTATATTGGGCTTATGAGGCTCCATTGCTTCACCCTCAATGGCTACGAGTATGAAAATTATAGTTATGAGTTTAATGTCGTCAACTCGACTTATTGACAGCAGAATGTATTAGGCTACCAAGGTTACCGATGGTTGTTGCTCAAAATGTCCTCCAAAATACAACTTTAACATATGACCTTTTACCTTAAATTTGTCTCCTTCATTGATCTGTTGAATTTCAATTGCCCCATATGGAGTAACATCTATAACATTATAAGGACATGTCCACCTGAATTTTAATTTTCCTGGAAATAGCCTCAGCCTGCTATTGTAAAGAAGTACTTGATCTCTAATTTTGAAACTTTTTTGTCTGATCAAATTGTCATGACATTTTTTTGTTTTTTTTCTTGAAATTGTTTGTATTTTCATATGCTTCCAACCTTATTTCATCCAGTTCATTCACTTGAAAAAATCTATTTTTACCAGTTGAGGTCAAGTCTAAGTTTAGTACCTTCAATGCCCAAAAAGCTTTATGTTCTAATTCAAATGGAAGATGGCAAACTTTTCCAAAGACTAATTTGTATGGGGATGTTCCAGTTGGCGTTTTGAACGTCGTTCGGTATGCCCATAATGCATCATCTAATTTTAAAGACTAGTCTTTTCTTGAGATTCCAACTGTCTTTTCAAGAATTCTTTTTAACTCGCGGTTGAAAACTTCAACTTGCCCATGTGTTTGAGCATGATATGGTGTTCCAGTTTTGTGAGTCACACCATATTTTGACAGCAAAGCAGAAAATTGCTTATTTATGAAGTGAGATCTTGGTCACTAATGAACACTCGCGGTGTGTCAAATCTGGTAAAAATATTTTTTCTAAGAAAACTACACACTATATGAGCATCATTCTTCCTTGTAGGGATAGCTTCAACTCATCTTGACACATAGTCTACAACCACAAGGATATATTCAAAAGAGTGAGAAGAAGGAAAGGGACCCATAAAATCTATTCTCCAAACATCAAATATTTTACATACATGTATTGATTGCAATGGCATTTCATCTCTCTTAGTGATGTTACCTATTTCCTGACACATATCACATCGTGCAACGTAGGCACGTGCATCTTTAAAAAGTGCTGGCCAGAAAAATACAACCTCCAACACTTTAAAGCCAGTCCGATTTGCTCCATAATATCCTCTGATTGCTTCATCATGACAGTGATATAGAATTTTGTTCATCTCTTCTTCAGGTACACATCTTCTAATAATATTATCTGCACAAATTTTAAACAAGTAAGGTTCATTCCACAGATAATACTTAGCATTAGATATGAGTTTTTTTCTTTTGTTGGTAAGAGAGATCTTGGGGTGTCCACTTTCCAACCAAGTAATTTGCAATATTTGCAAACCAGGGTGGTTGAGTCACATAAAAAATATGTTCATCAGAAAATTCTTCCTCTATATCACACAACTAAATTGGAGGATTTTCTAATCTAGACAAATGGTCAGCTACCTGATTCTCTGTTCCTTTTTTATCTTTTATCTCAAGGTCAAATTTTTGCAGAAGTAAAATCCATCTTAACAATCTAAGTCGAGCATCTTTTTTTGCTAAGAGGTATTTTAAAGTTGCATGGTCAGTAAAAATAGTGACCTTCATTCCTATCAAATAAGAACGAAACTTATCAAATGCAAATACTACTGCCAGTAACTCTTTTTCTGTTGTGGCATAATTCAGTTGAGCCTCATTTAGGTTCTACTTGCATAGTAAATGAGACGAAAAATCTTATCCTTTTTCTGACCTAAAATAGCTCCAATTGTTATATCACTAGCATCACACATGACCTCAAAAGGTTGACTCCAATCAGGGGATACAACTACATGGGCAGTTGATAATTTCTCCTTAAGGGTTTCAAAAGCTATCATACAATCACCTGAAGAGAAACACCTATGACCTTCATTACACCAAGTTCCAATTTTCTAAAGATAGAAAATGACATCAAATTTATTGAAGCTCCAGAATCACAAAGGGCTTTTTCAAAATATACTCCTCCCAAAGTGCATGGAATGGTAAAACTGCCAGAATCACCAAATTTTTATGGTAACTTATTTTGAAGTATATCACTGCATTTTTCAGTAAAGGAGTCAATCCCTTATTCTTTATTTTATATTAAAAGGTCTGGAGATCGAGCCCTGGAAGTCCTCTCCTCGCGGCTCCCTGCGTTGATATTTGAGGAAGTTGCTCTCGACACGAGGGATATAAAAGAAAGACCTGCTCTAGATCCCCAAGTCTCCATGGTCGTTCTTTTTAACATCTCTTTCTATTCTTATAATATAATGCTATCAGTCACCTCGTACTACCCCTCCCCCCCATTGTGCATCCTGTGTAACATCAAGGAAAGGAAAGGCTCATACTACCGCGGCGGGAGGTCGTCTCCCAACACATTCCCCCTATAGTTGATCTGCCACAGATTGAGGCATATCTTTTGGAGATGGTCATGTCAGCGGCGGCAAGTGGATCATTCATGCGCAAACTTAACTGAAAAAGAAAGAAGTGATCCATTGGCGAAAAGAGGGCCTTCCTCCTTCTTGCTTGAAGCTCTGTCAAAGAAGAATTTAGCATATTGGTCAGAAGGAAAATATTTTTTGGAAAATATTTTTCAATTTTTTCATGTTTGGTTGGCTTAAAAGTTTTGGAAAATATTTTCCTCATGAACTCATTTTTCTCTAATTGGAGAAAAATATTTTCCCTATCATGGGAAGGGAAAATATTTTTCAAAACTTATTTTCAACCTTCACCACTCTATTCTCAATCGCCAACATCCTCTACCAACCCATCCACCCCCACACCTAACCTCACTCNGTCAAATTCATATTGTAAAAAATATTTTCTTTCATTTCAAAAAAAAAGATGCAGAAAAAGTATTTTCTTTCATTTCAATAAAATGATGTAGTAAAAAGTATTTTGTTTTATTTCAACAAAATGGTGTAGAAAAAATTATTTTCTTTCATTTCAACAAAAATAGTATTTTCTTTTCATGATGTAGTAAAAACTATTTTCTTTCATTTCGACAAAAAGAGTATTTTCTTTTCATGATGTAGAAAAAATATTTTCTTTCATTTCAACAAAAATAGTATTTTCTTTTCATGATGTAGAAAAAATATTTTCTTTCATTTCAACAAATGAGTATTTTATTTTCATGATGTAGAAAATGTATTTTATTTCATTTCAATAAAATGAGTCTAATTTTCATATTGTAGATGTTTACCCTAAAAATTGAGTAACAATTAAACATATATTGTGGTTTTAAGGATATGTGATTTAATCCAGCACCAATTGATAAACAACGAATTAAATAGATAACTTGGACAATAAAATAAATCAAACCGGTCTGCAAACAATGCCTCGACCTCGATTCGAGATAGTCTCGAAGTTAGTTAATAAGAACAATATAGGATAGAACAAACAGCGATGAATAGTGATAAACAAAGAAAACAACGTATATGTATATTCGTGTCCGTGAATAATGTTGGTCCCTACAAGTGAATGAGATCCCTCTTTATATAATAGAGGAATCCTAAATAAGGTACAACTCTAATAACGGAAGTAGATCCCATGATTGGCGCTAATAACCGCTTTGATTTGATCTGTTCCGGGATTTTTGCCCTGACTTTCGACCGATTACTGATATCTCGTCATTCCGTTATTACGCCTTACTCGAAGTCAGTCATGCTCGATCTCAATTATTGCTGGCCTCGATCTCAATGAACACTTCGATCTCCATGTGTGATGTTCTTTCTTCGAGCTCGAGCACGATCTATTATGAAGTTACCCTCGAGGCAACTCCCCTGCCAACGAAATCTGGTATGCCCGATTTATACTGTATACAGATAGTCCCCTCATTTTTTGGAGTGTAACGAGAAGAAACAAATTTGAGACCTCAATTTAATACCTCGATCAATTATGACGTCAACATCGTGACGTAAACGACAGAAGCGATTGAAGCGTCACGTCTGCGCAGTTCCCAAGGTCATTAATTAACGCCAGTTGATGGTCGGACACCAGTGCTTTCAAATCGTCAAAGTAGCTAT